GTGTCGAATCGTACGGTGTCGAATAATTTCGTGTCGAATCGTACGGTGTCGAATAATTTGGTGTCGAATAAATCGGTGTCCAATAATTTTGTGTCCAATAATTGGGTTTTGAATCGATCGGTGTCGAATCGTACTGTGGTCAAACGAAACACGCCCCGCATAGACTTGGTTAGTCAAATTCAGTGCAACTCTTGCGTTTCACTGCTGTCAAGACGCAATAAACAACAGCACTTTCTGGATCAATCAAGTAGTAACTGGAAGAGAAATATCGATATCTTACGATACTTCTAATCACACAGAAGTAAATACAAATAATGAAAACAACATTAAGCTCTGCATTTGGTGGGATACTAAAGGTGTTGTATACTACAAACTGCTACCATCACATGAAAGTGATTTACACCAATATTCACAACAATTAAATAAATTAAAGCAAGCATTGGACAATAAACGACCGCAAATAGCGAAAAAGATGATTTTGTAAGATGATTTTGTTGCACACATTTTTTACCCAACTAAATATCTTCATGTCCGTAGAAGAACAGGTACTGAAGTATGGATGGGAAGTTTTACTTTATCCTGCAAACTCTCTTGACATTGCTCCATCGGAATGTTACTTACTTCACGAGTGCAGAATGCTTTTATAATTTTTGAATGTTAGAAGAAGTTACAACGTGAGTCGATTTATGGATTGATTTAATAAACAACTGTCAATCAATTCTTACAGGTTGTGGAATTTCTCCATTACCAGAAATATGGAAAAAACGGTGTATAGATACTAAGGAAAACCGTGTGACTACAGTATAACCCAAGTAGCATGAAAACGTTCTCCGAATGTTCGGCGAATGTTAGAACAGTAACAGTGAAAAATGTTTTTGTTATGTTAGGAGTTCGCTCAGGACTAACATTCCCCTAATATTCAGCAAACATTCTCAGAACATTTCACTGTAACGTTCTTGTAACATTCGGCAAACGTTAGGGAAACGTTTTTACTGAAACGTTATGGGAATGTTCTTAGAATGTTTTGTTTCTGCTCCCCATCCCTTCCTTTTTTCTCTCCCCCTTTTTACTAGAAAGTACNGGGTGGGTTTAGCTTAGCACATAATGTGTGCCTTTTAGGCATTTGAGGGCTGTGGTAGCACAAGAAAAAATCATACAATTTTCATTGAGTATAGATCAAAGTAATTATTTATTTATGGAAAAATATGGTAATTATGCAGTTATACGGACTATTTTCCGATCTCAACAATTTTGACATATGTTATCAAGGTCACCTCTCTGAATAATAATATGAAGGTTTTATCCGTCGCTCATTGTTTATAAAAAAGTTATGAACAAAAAAAGTTTG